GTTTCTGCCCACGCCACTCGCGGGTTGCATGCCCTCCAAAAAAATCCCACATCCCCCCCCAAAAAACCCGGCCTGGCTCCTAGACAGCCACCCAGGAGCCTCTTTCCCCCTTTACCGGGGCTGACTTACCTTCTCGACGCCGCTTTCGCAACACCGGAAAAGCCGGGGGAGCTTTTTCAAGAGGGCACACGCTCCTTCCGGGCAATCCCCATGGCAACGGGGCAATCGGGCACAGACGCGCTCCAACGCTAAGCGGCCTCCGGAAAGAAACAAGGGAGCGCAGGACAAAGGTTCCGCCGGAGCCGCTCAGCTCGAGGGCGTTAGAGATGGGGCGAGGCGGAGCATTTGTGTCTCGTCTGAGGAGTTGTCAGATCTCCGGGAATGAGCTGAAGTTCCAGCCTTTTAAGCTCCTTTTCTCGGAGTTTATTCTTGGAATTTAATAAAAAAGTTTAAAAAACCAACAACACCAGTAAAGCTGGACACTTCCTTTTCCATCTTTGTAGTAAATCGTCTATTAGCAGCCTCCCTTTGTCTCATTTTCACCCTATCTTTCCTGATCTTTCATTTAAAATAAATTCCCCTTGGAATACTTGTAGATTTTTGAGTGGGGGAGACACCAGCTCCTTATGTAATAGGGGGAAATATTAATATCAACACTTAGGACTGGAGACATACTCTGCAAATCTAGCCATGTTGACTCAGGTTGTAGCCTTAATCTGGATTCAACCAAAATCTACCTTTCTGTGACTTAAATCTAGTCTTGCCCTCTAGGGAAGCAGAGAGCAAGTTTCTGCCCTATTCTTTTAGGGTGTTTCAAGAGTGCTATGTCGAAGTACTGTCATATTCTGGATAAAACAATCAGACCAATCATTTAGCACTTTGATAATAGCTTAAGTGCTGTGCAGTTCTGCATGCTGTGGTTGTGAAACTGGCACCACATTTCCCAAACCTGATAAAATAATCCTAGCAGCAAAATGCTTCCACTTTGGGGGAACTGATGTTTATTAACAGTCAAACAGCTAAAACCTAAACCGTTTGGTAAACCTAAAACATGGGTAAACAACAATTCTTGCAAGAGCAAGTGGAACCTGAAAGTTTTACTGTGGGGATGTGATTGCACATCTGTGCTATGGGACCTGTGGCATCTCCAAGAGAAGTATTACAAGACACTCTCTTCCCTTCCTAGCCTAACTTGCACAAGCCCTCCACCTTCAGCAACCCTCATAGGAAGGAATGGACGACTATAGAAACTCACATATGCACACACCATATACAGTTATGAGCCATGCACTGCACACAAGGGAATTTAATGCTACGTTATAATCCACAAATTATGGATGAGCAAAACTCAAACCAGTAGATGGCGCTCTTACTTTACACTTGGTGCTCTCCCTAAAATTTGTTACATCACATTTCTAAATTTGCCCATTGAACAAAGGTGTTAAGCAGCTTAAATCTGATTTTTGTTGCAGCAGGGGACCCCAAAATTCCAAAATACAGCTGGAGCTCTAAGATGCTGCTACACACAGCTTCTATGAGAGTGCAGCAGTGATGGGCATTCAGAATACAACAAATTCAAAAACGTTCTCATTTAAGCAATGCTTGAAATCTTGGAGGGCAGGGGGACAAGGGACAAGATTTTTTGAGGTTATAGGTGGAGAGGCAGTTTTGCACCAGTCCTGGCCTCTTCTGATAAACAGAAACACAATTATGCGAGCAACAACAAAAAAGCAATGTGTTGTATCCAACATTAGACCTACTGAGAGAAGGCCCATTGAAACGAATCAATATGACATATTCCCTGCATAGCTGTCAACTTTCAGATTTGAAAATAAGGGATCAGCAGGCTCAAAAATAAGGGATCAGCAGCCTCACCTGTCCCAGGCACTCCTGTCTTCCACTGCTTCCCACAGTTTGGTCAAACTCATGCTGGTAGCTTTGAGAACACTGTCCAACCATCTCGTCCTCATGGTTCAATGTTACTAGTGAGCAAAGTTACCCAGTCAGGATTTGAATCTTGGTCCTAGCTTTTGGGGTTAAGTTTCTATTTAGCTGTCCCATTAATACTGACAATCCGTATCTCCCATTCATCTCTCAGGTCCCCTTGTAAATCTAAAGTACTGACATCCTGCGGTAAAAAAATTCCCTAAGTTAATTACACATTGTGTGAAGGTAAGTGTGTGAAGCTACAGCATTCCTACTATCAGCTTAAGTGACACATTCACTCTCTCTCTCTCCCTCTCTCTCTCTCTCTCTCTCTCTCTCACACACACACACACACACACAGTAGAGCCCCTCTGACCCAGCCAGCAGCCAAACGAAGCCTCAAGCGGTGATTCGCACAGCGCAGCAACCCGGCAAAGGGATACAGCAGCAAGGAAAACCACACTGTCACCTCTCCGCTGGGAAGCGCTGAAGCAAAGGCGAGTCCCCAGGCAACGCGGCCGATTTGATCGGCACAAGACATGCAAGCTCCACCCGCCAGTCGCTCTCAGACTCCTTACTGGTGAGCAATGCAGTTGAGGAGCCTTCCTGGCCAGCAGGGAGGGACAGGAGCTGTTTCCTTTGAAATCCGGGAAATTTACAGGATATCAACAATCCGTGACAGCAGCGGGAAACGGCACTGGAATAAGGGAGTTTCCCGCCAAATAAGGGAAGATTGACAGCTATGGTTCCCAGTGCTGTTTTTCTAGAAAATGAGGTGCTGGAACTCAGCATGAACTCCTCCCTTGTTCTCTTATAATGCAATGATGCTCACCTGAGAGGTGCCGGAACTAAGTTCCTGTAAGTTCTGGCTAAAAAACCCCTCTGCATCTTCCTATAGTGAGGAGGACAGATCAGGTGAGTTGTGTAGCTGCTGTCCAAGTTTAACTGGTGCTGGCAAATACAAGGCCTCTGCTCTCCCTTGTGGTTCATTATCTTTAATCCATGCTTGGAACGTGCAACCTTCAAATAGAGGATTGTCCTCTCTAATGCAGCACACAGGGCTACCCTAGCCTGCTTAGTTTTGATGCCACAATTATGGGAATGCCCCACAGCAGGGCAAAGGTCTCTTCAGTTCAATTCCTACTCACCTCACCAGGCAATGGAAGTATCTGCCAAGCCATTCAGGGAAAGGTAAACATTATGCTGCTGCAAGATAGATGTTGAATGTAGTGGACCATTTTGAATCATGCTGCACCTTGAGCGCACCTAGCCCCAATGAGGACAAGCAATTGGAAGTTTAGGTCTTTATTGGCGAAACATTTGATCACATCAGGTCCTAAGGTACAAGGGATCTATGCTAGGATTGACATATGTCCTCTTTTGGGGGTCCTACATGGCCATCCAGGGCGGGGTGGGATTTTACATTTTAAACCAAAAGTCCTGGATTTGGGGTTTAAAAAAAGAAGTGCATGGGCAGCTCTGGCTCTGGTGTGAGGAATGCCTGCTTCTTATAACCCGTAAGGCTTCATGTACAAACAGCTCTCACAATAGAAGTTCCAGTTGCATATGAAGCCCTTTTTCTTTCACACTTTGGAATTACCATGATGAAATCCAGTCCTCGTACAGCAGAGAATCGTTTCTATCAGTATGGACCTAGGAACCATTCTGATATAGCGTGCAATAATGTGAATTATACATACAGCATTCTTCACTTAAAGGTTGTGAAGATAGCAAAGAAACACAAGTGTTCTCACAAGTTTAAATAACTTTATTTTTAACATTTCACAAGGATGAAGGTCTTTGTAAAAAAAACAAAAACCCAATGGGATTAAATACCAAGAGTAACAAGGCAGAATATATACATTCAGATCCTTCAACATTAAGCACTGAGCAAATGTTTGCACAAGGGGAAATATCCCTCACAATGTACCACACTTTTCACAAAATTCAGCATTTCGATGTCAGGATTGCGTAAGTCACAGGTACCAATTAGAAGGCACTGATTGCAAGGTATCCTTGCTGTGTGTTGCCCAAATCTCATCAAAATGTATACAACTGAGCAGACCTTTATATGAAGAATGGTCAGCTGATTTGGGCCCAGTGAGAATACTCCCTCTTGCATGTGGCACATTGTGTTGCCAGCTACAGCCCTGTGGTCCCTGGAAATTTTAGGTCAGGTTATAAACTAGAAGATTGTCACAATCTGCTGGAAGCTGGTCCTGTACTATTTCTATTAAAACGGTCAACACTATTTCTTACTAGATCCATTCCTACAGAATATGTACTAAACACAAATGTCCACTGTACTTTGGGACCATATAACCATCAGGAATAAACATTTTCTAGTACATAGTAAAACTATATTTCAATAAAATACTTGTTCCCAAAAGCATGTGCCTGTGTGCTTATGGCTCCAACAGGAGCAAAGAGGCATTAAGCCTCTTAAAATAAAGTTTTTAAAAAGCAATTTGCTTCATTTAAATGAGATATACTAGCTTTAAAAAGATGCCCAAGTATCTAAATCCTGGTTTTACACGCAAGAAGTTTGCCTTACAGACTTTATGCCCCAGCTATTATGGAGCCACAGATATGTGAAAACACCACAGGCCCTGAAGATTTTAGATATGGTAGACAAGAGTTCCTCCCCTTTCAATCACCTGAAATCATTGACCTAGTTGAGGCAAGGTGACAGCATCAGCCGGAGGATTTCATCAAGAGAATTAGCACTATGCAAGAAGATAGACAAATCTATTCAACAAGCACCACACTCCATGTAGGACAACAGGAACATGGAGTCCAAGCTCACAGTCCAAGTCTTATATTCAAACATGACAGTATTAATTTTTCTACCAATCTCCAAACTTAGGGCTCTCATTGCATAAATATTGCCATGTCAAATGAGGAATAAACTACAGGAACCACTTAGCTGTTCCTATTCTTTGGTGTTTGCAAATGAGATTGTACAGTATCAAGAGCCATTAACAGTGCACCATTCAGGAAACGTCAAAATCTATGGGTGATATCTGATGATGTCATACTAAGAGCAGGCCCACAACAATCAAGAATGTTCGGGGTTTCCTCCATCACTCGGACAAGCAAGTTATCAATGTAGTCTTCCAGCTCCCGCACCTGCTGATCTCGCTTTGCAATCACATCTTTCTGCTTCAAGACCAGCTGGATCAGCTCGCTGTGTGTCAGCTGGCCATAAGCGTAGGCGGGATCTGAAGGATCATATTTCTTTAGGAAGGAAGAATGAACAGGTTAAAGTCATTTTGATATCCAGCACTGTTGCAAGGATGGCGTCAAAGGATCAGAAGGAAGGTATAGAAACCTTTGGTTTCAGGGATTACCGGGGAATCCCAGGAGTGATGTCAGAGCAAAGAGGTCATCTGCCAAAGCATCTTAAAAGCTACTGAAGATTCACAAAAAAACTAGAATTTCAGGAATTGCCAGTAAGTACTTTTATGGCATGCAGACAAATGTGCATACAAGGTTTCTGTACACCTGCCTTCAACTATTTCTTCCCAGTAATCAACATGGAAAAGGGAAGATAAGACCCTCCTCATAACATGCAAAAAGTACTAAATAAATACAAAGCAGCAGCAATAGTGGCTGTTTCAGTTAAGTGATAATAATTCAGGTTTGTGCTCAAACACCAAACAGATCATTTGCAATATTAGTTGGAGGCACGAAATCACTAAACCTTGCTTATCTGAAAACAAAAATCCCTTTCAGGCCAAAGTCCTTTGGTGAAGATAGCAAGTTTTGAGCTTGGGGAATTCATACCCACTCACAAATCTAAACTTGTGTCAGTAAAAGGCTAGAAATTGCCCATGATGGGTAGGATAGCAGGGGCAGGGGGAATCGTACAACTAGAAAACTTGAACACATTTCTGTCTCCAAACGACTATACCCCTTTGCAGTTTGTCTAATCCCGCCAATAAATTTACAAGCTTCCTAACTCAGGGCACAGACCACCCAATTAGGTTTTAAAATATAGTATGTCTTAAAATACCTTTATATCGGCTTCATTTTGGTTATCCAAGATCTTTGATGTTATGTTATGCTCTTCCTCGCTGTCAGCCGGGGAGTGACTAATGCTAGGAACAATAGCTGAAGCTGTGTCTGGCAATCCATTGCCTCGTTTCCCCTTTAGCTTGTCTTTCAGCTTGCCAAATGGTGTCCGTGACTTATCTTTCATGGACAGATCAAA